TCTAAATTAGGGTTTGCGGAAGTCCATGAAACGACCTCCAAGATGCATGTGGTTCGCCTCACCGATTCGTAACCTTCCATACTAGGGCTTAAGTCAAAATTAGGGTTTGCGGAAGTCCATGAAACGGCCTTCAAGATGCATGTGGTTCGCCTTTCGTTAAACGCAGTTGATGCATGATTGTTACAGGGCAAGTATTTGTTATATTTACCGACAAACGTATTAGTTGTCACTTCATGAACCTCCGTATGGTCAAAGAGAACCCCTTGTAAGTGTCGCAACTTTAGGTCAAATATGTGTTTAAGGAAATAAAATATAAGTGATCAATCTAGATGGGATGTTAAATACATGTTCATTAAGTGTGCAGATGTTTTTTAACAGTGTAAAGTATAAATGAAAGTAACAAATCTATAAAGTACAAAATGCAAAAGGTAACAAGTATTTATCAGCAAAATGTCTAACGCTTCGATATATCTATTGTAATTGACGAACGATCTCAATAAAACTTGACGAATTATCGTTTCGCTTATTGAAGGAAAGGGGTTTATATCGTACAAGAAGTCAATCATTAACCCTTTCTTCCAAATTACGTCACCGTGACACGACTACAAAACTCAAAATCCTGTTAACCTGTGGAATTTAAAATACGAAAAGACCAACTTTATGTATTGTCGCTCAAACTACAACAGAAAACAACATAATACGACCGCTGCATAATGAGACTAAATTATTACCATTGGTGTAATCATACGATAACGACAGTTGATTTTATTTCCACGTTCATTAATATACGTCTCATTTTTGTAACATGATCCGTTTTCGCAATAAATCAAACATCTTTATAGTTACCGTTTTCACTTCCCAGAATATTTTCTCGTTTAATCTTTGCAACTTTTTCTTAAACTTGTGTACCAATTTGTATAAAATGAAAGTTGGTATCTTGATTTGGTAATAATTCAAACTTCATGGACCATAAGTTAAAATTAAACAAACACATTAAGTAATATTTTTATATCTATTTTATTAACAAAACAATGCTCTATTAGATATCATCAATTTATTATCAACAATATTACATGATACAATTATTTTGATCTGTATTTTTATATGACAACACAGTATAATACGAAAATATATCAAAAATTGGTATTTTCCATCATGCGCTTTGATTAAATTTTCAATTTTTTTGGTGTGTTTTGTATTTTTAATCGAATTTATATTTGTATTATAAGAATAACAAAACACAGTAATTATACCAATTTTTGCATTGGTTTTATATATATATTTTTTGTATTAATTAATAAAGCGTTTATAATTAATGTTTAATGTCATGCATGGTGTCTTTTGATATGGGAATGTGAAAATACAAATATTTTTCCTTTTATGAACAGTGATAATACTTGAGCAATAATAATTTTAATTTTAATTTTTGTAGTATGAATTTGGGTTTAGAAAATCTAAATTTGGATCCGAGGCTGGTCTCTCCAGATATTTATAAATAGCAATTGTTTTCATCATAGTATACAACATAAACTTTCTTCTCGGCTTTTCAAAAACCAGTCTCTCTCAAAACCAATACCGTCAAACGATGGATGGCTTTAACGACTGGGACTGGGATGCAATGGCTAATGGTTTTTGCCCAACCACTGACGCCTCCTACTCCTCTTTTGCATCCACCACCACTGCACTCATCCCCACCACCCCAACGATACCAGTAAATAACAGTCAGACGACTGATGGTGTTAACGATTGGGACCTTCATGCAATGGTTAACAGCTTTCCTCCCAACACTGTTGCCGCTTCGGCCCCTTTTGCCCCTGTCACCACCACATTCAACCCCTCCATCACCACCACTCAAACTATACCCACAAATAACAGTCAAATGATGGGTGGTGTTGCTGATTGGGGTCTTCATGAAACTGTCAATGACTTGTACCCCTCCTTTGACACCTCCTCGTCTTCTTTCTCTTTCTCCTTCTCCTCGTCCACCTTCTCTGCCAACACAACCATGACCACCACCATACCCATGACCAACACAACCATGACCACCACCATGCCCATGACCAACACAACCATGACCACCACCATACCC